CCCTAATTTTAGTCGCAGGTTTAGGGTTTTAAGGCACCGAGTTTGTGTAATTTGATTTGATTTATGGGATTTCGAATAGCTACACGAAGTTCTTGCTTAAATTTACTGTCTTTGTGGGGAATTCTAAGTAACCCAGGTTTGATCTGGATCTAAATTTGTTGTAGCTTCGTTTTGGCAGATTATTGGGGTTTTTTGGAAAGAAGATGAGTGGAGGAGTAGAGAAAGCTTCAGGAACAACTAAGACACCAAATGATTTCTTGAAGTCGATTCGTGGTAGACCAGTTGTTGTCAAGCTTAACTCTGGTGTTGATTATCGAGGTTTGTTTCTCTTCTGTTCTGTTCGTATTCTTTAATTCTCTGTGTGTTACATAACTTGCTTCTGATTTTGGTGGTTAAGGTATTGAATCTATGTATATATATACATTCATTGTTTTTGCCGTGTTAATGGGAAACCTATGAATTTTGTTTTAGAGAATTGGTTGATTTTTCATTTGATTTGAACGGTGTGTATCTTTGAATATTCATTCTTGTTGAACTTATTGTCAATCGGTTTTGTATCATCCTCTCAAATCAGAATGTTTTTCTATTTTGTATCCAATAAACTGTGTGTTGAGAAGGAAAAAACTATGTATTGTTTGCAGGCCTTCTTACTTGTCTTGACGGGTACATGAACATTGCAATGGAGCAAACTGAAGAGTACGTAAATGGGCAGCTAAAGGAGAAGTATGGGGACGCTTTTATCCGTGGAAACAACGGTAACACACCTAATCACATCCATAATCTTTCTTTAAAATGGTTAATTTCTTTTGCGAACATCTGAAGTTTTTGCTGTCTGCTGGATAACGCAGTACTTTACATCAGCACAACAACAAAGACCTCGGCAGATGGAGCCTAACTAGCTCTCTTGCTCACCATGAATAGTCATCTTCTTCTACCTCTAGCATTTGACATGTATGTTTTCTAGCAACTGGAGATTTTTCATTCGATTCGGCATGTCTTTTGTTTTTTCTTTCAACTCTTGCCACTCAGTTTGTGTTTAAACCATCTCCAAGATTTACAATGCAACACATGAGTAGCTCAAATCAAATAGTTATATGTATCATCCATTTACATTCAATGTTATCACTTGCGTCATAATCTGATGTCATCTATGATAATATGTATTTAAGGGTTTAATTTAATAACAAAATATAGTTTAGTGTTTCTGTTCTTTGGTTAATTCGTATAGACAGTGTCCTCGTAACGGTTGTTGCTTTGGTCTCCGTATTGATCCATCGAACATATAAATTCGTACGGACTAGTGTTGAGATCTGAGATCTGTGATACAAAAAATTCGTACGGACTCTATATAGAAGGAGTTGTTGTCCAACCCCGTGTCGACAATTGGTCCGTCTGTTCCATCAATGTACTTAGACCAAAGGATCAAATCAGACACCGACTACGATCTGACTCTCTTTGATTCGAAAGATGATGCCTTCTGCACAGACTGGCTCGACACGAGGGCACAAGGGTCAGTTGTGTATGTAGCGTTTGGGAGCATGGCTAAGCTGAGTAGTGTGCAGCTAGAGGAGGTTGCTTTAGCATTAAGAAACTTCAGTTTCCTGTGGGTGGTCGACAAAATGGAGAGACTTGGCTGTCAAGTCACTCAGTGAAGGAGGCTCTACTGATGATAACATTGATGCATTTGTATCAAAGGCTCAGAGCAAATAAGTTTGTAGTAATACCATACATGGTTTTTATGACGCCATCACTTGCGTCATAATCTGATGTCATATTATTATCTCAACAATTATTAGTACGGAGTATCAAGAGTAACATGTTATAAACAGGAACAAAATGTCGGATATAATTGAAGAAGACAACATCGTCAAGTCCTATCATTTTTTTTTTTTTGAGATCTTCCTGTAATTATAGAGCCGTAGAGAATCGTTTTACTTCTTCTGATGGGTTTCTATCCTTTCATTTTCCATCTTAAAAATCTTGATTCTTCTCTAAAAAAAAGAGAAAAAAAAAAGAGTAACAACTGGAATTTAGTTTAATTAGAAGAGGATACAATGTAAACTTCATGTAAATATATGAAGTAAGAAAGAAAGGAACACAATAGTTCAAAAAGAAATTCAGAGTTATCCTTCGAAACATGCATCTTGCATTACATTTTTAACAAATAAAAAGATGCAATGTCTTACATTTTTTATTAACAAAAAAAAAAGAAGAAATTGCACTTACATTTTAATAAAATATTTTTAGTAGGTGAAAAGA